TCCCGGAAGACAATGCAACATTAAAGCATTTCAAACCATCTTGAAAAGCGACCTGCAAATCCACCTGTACGATCCCTTGGTTTTCTCTATACCATCTATTCTCTTCGACGATGCCATCTTTTCATCAGCATTATTTTAACCGTCGTATTTTCTTTTCTCTCTTGTTATAAGACATCGTGCGAAAGAACAAATGGCAGATCATTAGGCATATTGCGAGAAACATTCGATCCATACCGAGTAGTGTATTAATACAACATTTTTCTCAGAAACAATATAGACGGTCTTGTGTTCCTTTGTTCTTAAGTTACTAAGAATATACTTATATGAACTTTCAACATTTTGATCCTTTCATAGAAATAGACAAAAGAACACTATTTATGTATACATTCATCTAAGATTATTACAAAATGATTATTAATTTGAGAAAACTTAATAAAAAAATATTTTGAAAATCACCGCGGTTTGATATCGATTTGTCTTCATCAAATATATCATTGGAAATCAATGTGAACACAAATTTGTTACTCTCTCTCCCTCTCTGTTGTGATATACTCTAAATTGATCCTTGACTTGACTAAAACCACAGAAAGTGAACGTGATCCAATTATGCTTTCTTTTAATCTTTCTATCTCTTTCCCTTTTGACGTTTGGGTTCTCTACAATGATGAATCCAAGCATGAATCTCAAACCGCAAAATACATACATATATATATATACATATACATGTGTATGTGTATATATATATTATATATAGAGGGTGAGTTTCTCAAATTGAAATTTTTAAATATCTCGAAAATAATGCATTTTTGAAAAGAAATATTGAAACGAAGGAGTAAACATAACAGCATTATTTATTTCCAATTTTTATTTCTAATATTTTATGTAAAAAAAACAAAGAATTTTTGTCGAAATCATTTTCATATATAAAACTTTATTAACTACATTGCAACTAATGATTTATATCTAAATAGTTCGTTTAAGAATCTTTGCAATTCATACAATCTCAAATCTAAATGAAGGAATAAATGGAAGAACAGACAAAGAGACGAAATAAATGTAAGTAAAAATTTCTAAAAATCAGAAATAGTAGAACCGTTTGTTGTGAGATTATCCGTTGAGTAAGAAGATTCACCTAAAGGAAGACGTTGTCTCGAAGTCGCAGTGTTTATTCTCCTTCTCCCTCCCTCTTTATTCCGCAATACGAAGGAGAGACATTGAGAAAGAGTGGCTCCTTCGTTGTAAGAGGGAAGGAATTTGCGGATCACGTAGACTGCTATCTCGTTGAGAAGCGTCCTACTTCCGAGTGCATAGAATGACGTACTTCCACGAAAGTGTAAATAATAGCTTAGATTTAAACGTGCAATTTAACTCTAAATTTATACACGAGGATCGAAATTTTATTATATTATAACGTTCCCCTACCTTTGTGACTTTTATTTAAGAGAAATAATGTAGGAGATAAATTGCAAAGCGAGAAAAAAAATTCAATCAAATTTTCAAATATATACGTACATTTCATACGAATTTATGTTAAAATTAAAAAGAAAAAGATATTACCGTGTCAGAAATGATACGTGAGAAATAGCATATGTATTTAGCTATCATTGAAATTTCTTATTGTGCTATTTATCAGAAAGACGTCGAGACTTCCGGACGAGACTTTTTAACCTTCTTCTTGCACTCGATATCGTGGTACGAAGAAGGAGCTACGAAGAAGGAGAACGAGATAGAGGAGAAGAGAGTGGAAATGAAGAAGGAAAAGAGGGAACCGAAGAGAAGGTAAAGATTCCAGATGCTGTGGAGAAACGTTACGTATACCATGGAGTGGACCTTGCCCGTGATAGCGATAGCAATAGAGATAGCGATCTTCTCTCCGGAAACTTGCCGGTAACGTTATAACTCGTCTTTCTTCTTTGAATAGCTCGAGCATTATACGATTTTCGCAAGCGGAGGAGTACTATCGTCTCTGAGTTCTCTTTCTCTCTCTCTCTCTCTCTCTTTCTCTTTCTCTTTCTCTTTCTCTTTCTCTTTTTCTCTCTCTCTTTCTTTTTCTCTATCTGTTTTTCTCTCATTTCAGTTTTTCTTCATGGACGAAAGGTAACGACGTGACGCGTCCTTGTGAAGCCATCTTTTCTTTTCCTTTCAAAGATATTACTTGGATTTTGTAATAGTATTAGTTTTCTACTTGACCCCATTATTTTGTTCCATTCTCTTGTTTATAACACTGGGACCCGCATCCGTTTGTTACTATTCTTTGTTTGGAAAATAAAACGCTATTTCTTTTGGATAATGTGCTTCTTTAAAAAAGCAATTTCAAGTGGTTAAAGGTCATAGGTCAATAAGTTTTCAAAATCTCTATTCTACAACTTTATTGTTAATTTATCCGAACGAAGTATTGAGCAACTCGAAAAGGATTAACTTTTATTTCAAACGATTCTACTTTCGACCTAATTCTTCCTATTGAAAAGGGTTCCATGTACTAAACCAAGCTATTCTCTTTCAGACAATACCATTACGAGAATGGTCTTTCTTTTTCATTCTATTATAGGTATTCTCTTAGAAATAACATATGAAAATCGTTTAACACGAATTTATTCTTTTGGATGGCAATTAATCCAGTGATATAAGAGACTTTTAAAGTTCCGACATTACATAAAAGACGAGGGACGATTTATTCTATCATTCATTACTCTTCAATCTTAATTACAAAGTTACGAGAGAAACAGTTAATGCTTACGCAATAGTTTCTTTGCTAACAATCGAATATTTTTAGAGATAACTAAACGGGTAAGAATATAAAATGAGCTACGTCTAATGAGATGAATATTTAAAGACTTAATCGTCGCATTGATTGTAAAACATTAAGCAACATTAAATAGCTGAACGATATGCGACTTAATCATTTTATACAAGTATGATTATTAATCTTCGTTGAAGAATTTGTTTACGGTCTTCTTTATTTCGTATCAAACATCGTAACATTTTCTACATCAATGATCATATGCAAATGTTTGCATACGTATTGTTTCAACTTTCACGTTAAGTTTCGCATATGAGAAGCATAAGCCTGAAGCATATGTATATACATGCATATAGCTACCCTTATCGCAATTTATATACGTGCATATTCGTATGAAGTATAATTACGGAGAGATAGATAGATTGAAAGAGAGAGAGAGAGAGAGAGAGAGAGAGAATGAGGGGGAAAGAGAGAGAGAGAGAGAGAAAGAGGGGGAGAGGGAGAGAGAGAGAGAAAGAGAGAGGGAACTATCGGTACTAGTAGAGCATGGAGTTCATTAAGTCGACGAGTATGGCAAGTATTTACATGACAGGAGTACGTAATTATTTACCTACAGCGATGTACAGAGTGACGCATTACGCTGAGTTTCCTTCGGTCGGATTTGAATAATTACGCTCGATCAGAACACGCAGTTTACTTCTCGCTTCCGTCATTACGAGCTGCCGTTTTGATGAATAATTGACAGATTTATAAGGTGAATTTTATGAAGAATCTCGTCTCGCAACGAATGTCGCTCGTGTCCTTTCTATTATTCAATAGTTAGGGAATGAGTTTAACTTTAGTAGTTATTATTATGAGCCTTAATAATGCTTTCGGGGGATAAGAGAAAGAAATAAATTATTCCTCTAAGGAACACTAAGAAAGGCTTTACGGTCGAGAAATTCGCTCGTTATCTATATATTCATTAGTATTTAAATTGTTTATTTGCCTAATTTATTAAAAATTGCTTTAAAAGAATATACGCTTATCTATAATTCATCTGATTTTTATAAATCGTGTAATGTGATAGCGTTGATCAAAATAAAAATTATCATATTTGAACTTATCTATTAAATTTGAAATGATATTTGTCGATTTATTTAATATTATCTGATATTTCAAGCCGATATTTAAACGAATGTTTCACGATCGATCGTGAAACAGGCGACAATAATTTCATAGTACAAGTAAAAAGGCTACTAACGATAATAATAATACTTTGGATATGATGATTGAAAACGATAAAGTATAAAGTATATTTTATCGACAGTGTATGCATCTATGCTATTTCGCATATGTGCACGAATGTACGCGTATGTACGCGTATGTGTACACGTGATGCAAAATAGCAAGAAGGAATAAGTTATCTACGCTATTATCCTGAGGGACAGGAGACGCAACGAGTTCGTTATCGAAGCGCACAGGCTTAATGAGTCGTTGTGTGATAATTTAACGAGCTGCTGGCAGGTTGCCCACATTCATGACACAACACCATTAATTAAGCTGACAGCATTTCAACGGGTGAGCAGAGTCGCGGCCATATAACCGTATCGGACGTAAGGTATAATAATTCAGGTTCCGAGTACGAAGATTGACTCGGCTTTTGTAGTTGGATCGTTTCTCGATCAGTTGGTGTTATCGCTTTACACTTACTCGTCGATCGTCCTTTATCGTCTCCGATCGACTCCTTCGGAGGTAACGGGTCATTCTCGTTTATCACTAACAAAGCTACCTGTGTAAGATAAAACGATTGGTAAATAAATCCGTAAACATATCTTTTCGTCATCCTTAACTGATACTTTTGTGCTTTATTCATTAGATATTGTTTATTCGTATCATTTGTAATTCTTTAAATTCTTTAACAGCTTGTTAAAATGTATTTATTATTCTTACAATATAAATTAATGACCCGACAATGGCAAAGTTATATTTGTTAGAAAGCATTGGAAACTCAGCAAGCTGTCCTACGTGAAATCGATGAAATGCCTAGTATAATTAATCTCTTCCAGATTTCCGCAACGTTAAATCTCTATACTAAAAGTCAGTATAATACAAGAAATGGCGCAATAAATTTCTTTTGTTCCTCGTTTTAAACAACTACAATAAATATCTCTTGAATAAATCAATTTGTTTCTTTATATTAAGTTTAACGAATTAATTTAGCCAATTGTTAGTAGAATATTCTTAATTATTTATCAAAATCATGACAATGACATTTTTCAATCGTTGTGTAATAATTCCAGAAAGAAGAAATATTAAGATCGACATACCAATCGGAATGAATTGGATTTGTATTGGCTATTGGTATTGCCGTAGAAAATAATCGAAATAAAATGGTCCCTTGTTTTATTGTTGCTCGTTCGAAGATCAACGTAATGATCGTATTCAGGTCTACGATAGGTTAAAGATTGAATTGAAGCAAGTGCCGTGGAAAGTGAAATGTTCTCTTGAATTGTCGTCGCATCGCGTATGCAACACGAACGTCGAGTCGTAATTCACAATGGCTTTTCGTATTACGTACACCGTTATATTACGTCGTAACGTCGTAACGCTGTTGGCAATGTGAATGTATTTTGTAACCAAAGAGAAGCACCTCAATGATACGTACTCATCGAGTTTCGTCGTTCATATATCTGATTTATACAACACGCGTGTTTGTTGTTTTCTGCCTTTAACGCTTTCATCGATAATTGATTTAACCGTAATAATGAATGAATATTTTGCTGATCTTTTTATTCGATCATTTTTTTTTATTGCACAGAAGGATCCCTTTTTCAATTCGGATGTCTTATATCTTCTCTGATTACGTCATCTCTGATTATTATGCAAATCGGACGGAATATATGATAGGTTTGAATTGGTTAGGATTGATTAAGACAAAGTAATTCGAATAGATGCTGACACCTTAAACCTCCCAAAAGCATAATCCTAATCTTCTCTTGTAACTCTCGCTAGAGACCACCACTGAAATAACTCTTTAAATAATTCCGAAAGCAGCCAGTTCGAGTAAACCTAATTGACATAACTACCGGTTAACGGAACTATTACGTCGAGTGTACATTAATGCCGAGTCAGGTTAACAAGACTAAATTTCGTCCTAGACTGCAATTTCTGTTTCGTAGATATATTTTCACTGGTGCAAGGCGTCTCTACACTAGACAGTTTTCTCTCTTCCTCAACTTTTCTCTCTCTCTCTCTCTCTCTCTCTTTCTCTCTCTTTCTCTTTCTCTCTTGCTCTTTGCAGCTTAACTCTAAATTAGGCGCTCGTTATGTACATTGGTTCGTTACGTCGGCCGAATTACATTCTAGCTTTAAGAAAATCAAGATTTACTACCAATTGTGACGTTGTTAATTATTCCATTTAACATCGAGTACGTATCAAAAGTATATTGTTCATGAAAGAATTTATAACATTACCAAGAAACTTCATCCTGTTAAATTTTACCAATTATGAAGATTATAACAGGACGATTTTATACTTAGCTTCTTTCATAATTCTAAAGCCGATACTTTTCACTTGAATATCCATTTTTGGAGTATTAATGTTATACCTACAGATCCGATTATGTACATACATCTCAGCTTACAAATCCATTCTGTTATTAGTCGGTATGGTTATGAAAAAAATTGTAAAACTCAATATGGATATAGATACGATAAAGAACAGATGAAGGATGAAATAGGATTATTAAGATCCGCTATGCTATAGTATGGATGTTCGATTGCCGTGAAATCGCATCATCTCTGTTAGTCTCGTAACGTCTCGTTACATTGAAAAAAATTTTGAAAGGTTCATTCGAAAACCAACAAACCGCATGTATCCGATACTAATCAGAAAAATAAGTATGATATTTCTTTAATATCCGTTGGAAGTACATTATTTCATCGTAAATTTTTTATTGTTAACTATCTCGAAGAGCTTACTCAAACGATTAAATATTCCCTAGAGAAAAGATTTACATACCTAAAAAGAACAGAGAGATAAAATCGACACGCATGGCTAACAAAAACGGTAATGACCCACTTATGCGTGCTAATTATAAGATTCTTTTCTTCAATTTATGTTGTTACCAATGATGAATCTAATCTAAAAAAAAAAAAAAAAAGAAAAATATCAACGCTTATACATATAATGCATAAATATATGTTTTACATACGTAGAACATATGTGCGCATATAATATAAGAATAAGAAACTTTAACTGCATGATAGTTGCAACTATATAATGACACCACACTCGCAATCATCTTCTTGGCTGTATCCAATTCTGACGTGATATATAATCTACCAAGAAGGCATTAGACTGTACCTATATAGTATAAAATATTTCGAGTACATTTATTCTCAGCATTAATCAAGGTCAGGCTATAAGATCGCCACAAGCGTTCTTTTTCTCGAAAGTGCGGACAACGAGCATCTTGGCTCCATGTTCTTCGGACTCATTAGCATTCACACCTCAGAACGATTAAGAGTCTGCCCCATGACCTTTCCCTCGTAATAATTGCTTTCACGATTAATGGAAGTCCAGACTCTCAGTGCTCTTCGACCAAGAGAAGAAGAAGAAGAAGAAGAAGAAGTAGAAGTAGAAGAAGAAGAAGAAGAAGAAGAGAAAGAGAGAAAACAAGAAAAGAAAAGAGAGAAAATCGTGGCAGAAGCTGAAGAAAACTGAAAACTTACTACACTCATCCGCTTTTAAATTCCATCCACGAAGATGCAGTTGGAACGATGCTTTCTAAAGGGTAGAAAACCTGCTTCCTCTTCCCTCCTCCCCCTTGGCAACCTGCCGAAAGAACGTACTTTTTCTCTGCCTCTGCATGCGTTTTTATGTTTTCTTTTTCTCAATTTTTTTACTTTTTATATCGTCTTGGAAGATACTTACTTCGGACTGTCTTTCCAATCGTCTTAATTAACTGATGATTATCAAGATATACTTATTTCATCTTTACTAAAAGATAGATCAAACGGTTCGTTTTTCATTGTTCAGTTTTGAGATAAATAAGATGGAGTCATTGGTATATAGTATTAAAATTCTGTAAAATTATATAAAATTTCGTTTCTGTTATATTATACTCGTTAGATGAAAGATATTATATAGTCTTACTCTGCACAAAGGGAATCTTCATCTTTTACCATGGGATCACTAGACAGTCTGCAAATCTTTCCTAGCTCGCTATTACACTTAGGGCGGTGTGATAAGTCGCCGGTATTATTGCTGACAATTAGTCACGCTCCACGATACAGTTCGTCGTTTCCCAAGTGTACGTGAGGTGGATGTATTCTCTGTGCAGGTAGGCGCGTAGAAATGGAAGAGGAACGATGAAACGCGTCACGAGCTTTCGAAGCCAAATTCCCACGGGCATTGTGGTCATAGGTTGATCGGTGCTCCATTCCTGAAAGAATATCGATCGTTTGAGAAATCAAATGTAGCAATTAAAAGAAGAATGTAATCCGAAAGTTCGAAAAATTCGTAACGTTTTAAAAATGATTTTTAAATAACTTTTCGAAATAGTTGAAATAATTTTATATAATTTATTTATTTTTTTTTTTTTTTCATTTTACTTTTCATCATTCCTCGTTATTTTTAATCGAAAATAGAATTGTAAGAAAATAGAAAATAGAATTGTAAAACTGAAAACTTTGGATAAAATAATAAATCATAAAAAGAAGAATCAAAAGATATGACATTCTTTTAATAAAAGTGATAAACAAATGATATATTTATTATAAACATAATCTATACGAAACAGTTACTCATTAATTATCATTGACATATCAAGAAATGATTAGCGACAATCGATAACTCAATTCACTGTTCATTAGCGATTCATTGTCGGCATATTCCATTTACACAATCAATTCATAATTATCCGTACGAAGTTCTAATAAAGTATTTCATATAATCGAATCGATCTTTTCTAACAGACATAATCACTGATAAATGATAATAGTGAAAATGACCGATCAAAATTTCCAGATAATTTGATAAAACAGACAGAGAATCAAAATGACAGGATAATCATTTCTACTTTGTGACATAAATTTTACAAGATATTTAAATACGATCGAAATAGAAATTAGAGGTTTATGATCTGTACCAGAGACATGATAATAAAAGTGATCCCTTAACGTTATACTAATAGGAATCGAACTCAGATATTGTAATTCATGGAACAACCGGAGAATTATAATCATGCAGTAAATCGTCTTACGATTTACAATGGTCTTACGAGTTGAATCAAGTTTGCAAATAATATAGCAGTCGATCATTACGATATATGTAATCTGTCACGTAACGAAAGTCGTACAATGATACATATATTGCGATCAGGTTGCTGATTTTTTCATTGTATAATACCATTCTATTGATAACAAATTCATTAACTACAAAGACACTTTATTATATAGAAATAAAGAATAAACACAATTAAAACATTTAAATTCACGAAGATCTTACTAAAGAATACGATGGAAGTTCATTTAGAGATATAAAAATAGTAGAAAAATCGGACAAGAAATTTCATCTCAAAGAGGAGTTCAACTATCCGGAATAGTTCTTCAAATTGAGAAAGCTGGTGGATAAAGCAAAGAAATCCCATCATTCTGTCGCAAGAGCTCACCAGTCTTCCTTATCCTCGTCTTACTTCAAACGTAGGAAACAACAATTTCTCCGAATCATTGTCTTCAAATGCGACAATGATCGATGAGCTAAGCCAGCAAGGACAATGTGTGGCATTTCTCCATGGTATTATGTTATGGTATGTATCTTACGATATAATGGAATATAGATATACATACACTCCTATATATAAATATATATATATATATATGTATATATATATATACACATATTCATATAGATATAAGAACAGTGTTATCTACACAGAGAATTCAAATATACCTATAATACATAGACGTAAGGTACTTACTTACGACGCTTCTCCAAGCTTCCGGGATAGCTACAGCACTCGGCACTGTCATTAGACTAATTATACGTTGCTTGTACGGTGTCTCTGTCGTATCTGCCAAGGCCCAGACCCACCATCACCTCTATCGCCACCTCTACCGTCGCTACCACCACTAGCGCCAATAGTAACAACAACAAATGTTGCGACAACCGTCGTTCTCCCTCCTTCATTAGTATCAACACCGCTGAACCATATTATCTCACCATAGAAACGCGAGAAACACGAGTTTGTATACTCTTAGCTTGTTTTGATATCGACTTCTGGTTAAATTTTATATTTCAGTTAAAAATGAAGAACGATAAAAATAAAATAATAAATATTGTATTGTATTAAAATATTCCAAATAATGAAAGATCGATTGTCGTGAATCGTATCAATTTTTGTATAATTTAATTTAAAATCTTAACTGACCAAGTAAAAAATTATTTTAACCATAGCTACAATTAAATTATGATCTATATTTACACGATCTATATTTTCATCCTCTAGCTGATAAAGAAATCTTAAAAGAGTCATTAGCGAAGTGAGAATGCCTGACAAATGATCACATTAGTCACCTAGAATGATCCATATACAGGACGGTCAAAGACGAATGATGACGACCACATTGGACGACGACGACGACGACTACAATGTTGAACAAAGAGAAGAGACGACTACGACCGAAAAGGACCAATGACGATAACGACGAGGGCGGCGAAGATTGAAGAGGACCGACAACAACGACGACAAAAGATGCTCGACAACGAAACCAGCCGAAGATGCTCAATAACGACAACGGTTGAAAATGGACGATGACAACGACGACTACGTCGATGACAATGGACGCCGAAAATGACGATGATGACGACGCCAGTGGCTGTGGCAACGTTGACGGACAAAAATAGCAGAAGGACATTTTTGGCAATATTCGGGTATCTTCGTTAAACTTTGGCAATCTTTGGCAATATTTGGGTTTCTCCATCAAATTTCGACAATCTTCGGCTATCTTCGGCTATTTTTGGTAATTTTTGGAAAAAATCGCTATCGTCATCGTCGTCGTCATATTACACTTGATGAAATGTTCAATGACCAACTGTATAGATTTTTCAATTGTTTTACACTCTTGGTTACGAGTTTTGGTTTCGAAGATCAACATCATTTTAACGTCATGTTATTATACATATTTGAATGTATTTTTTGAACAATAAAAAAAAATTTAATTATGTGTCAAAAAAACAGCGATGGCCTTGATAACTCCAAAAAAATGACCTTGAGAAAATAATATACGAATATTGATCTTTTGACACCATATATATTACGTAAATATATTTTTTGCATATCAATAAACCGAAAAAATATTTAGGTGACCTTATTTAAAAGGACCTTCGTGTATAACTACGACGAAATCTCATAGTATCATTTGTTTTTATCATCGTTCATTCAACAAATGTCGCATCGCATAGAATGGATACCTATTAATAAAATTATACGAAGTCTAAAATTATAATGTACAAATGCTTTCTTTGAAAACCGTTAGTTCACATTCAAAAACTATCAAATGAAGTTCATTTGATGCTAAATTGGATCAATTAGCAAATATTCCGTACGAAACTATAACAGTTATTAATTCTATTTATGTAATAAAATTTGATAAAATAAAAAATAGTAGAAAATAATAATAGGAATAATGAAGATACATTCATAGTTAAAATCATTATTATTTTAATTTTTAACAAACGAGTTAATGAAATTTCTACAACAGACAATTTATTCGACGAGCAAGTTTACTACTGGATGCGGTCACTTTCGTAGGCGTGAAAGTGATAATGTATATGTATACCTACCTCTGAAATAATAGCCATAAATCTATCAAACTCGGATAAGGAGGCATTTAATTTCACTTACAATTTGCTTTGACATGTAGCGGACGGATCGCAATATATCGCGGCTGAAATGTTAACTATTTCTTCTCGCTTCGGTCCGTTCAGTCTCTTATCCGCATTTTCCGCCGATTAAGCGTTCACCGTCGGTAGTAACTTGAGATCTCGAATTACGCGGCGCTCCTAGTCCTTCTGGAAAAAGATAATAAATCGTTCGTCATGGGAAAATTAATGTTACTCGTCGCCTGGCTTTAATGCCTTCAGAGAAATATTATAAACATATTGAAATTAAGAACTTCTGAAAATCATTGTTTTATTTCAATTGAATTAATTCTTATGCAGTCGCATACAACATTATTTGACATACGAAATTCTATAAAGTAAAGGAAAAAATCTGACGATCACAATTTATATGTTTAATATGTTGAATGGTTATATATTTAATCCGTCACATTAGCGATAGATTTATCATATTGTATGAATGTGAGAATCGCAAGGCGCGTCTGTTTTTAACTGACAGCCGACAAGTGCACAGCTGGAGGCAATCTTGCAACGCCAGATCCTAAGATATAATTTACACACATATCGATGGAAATTAGATATCAGCCGACATAACACTCTCGAATATTAGCGTTCTTCGAAAGAACGTAAATTGATCGGCTAAACGAGATTTCCTTATGCTCCTTCTTTTCGCTTTGTTCATGTCACAACTATAACGTTGATAGATCTAATCTTTTCTATCGAAGCAATAAAATCGATCTGTTAGATCATTGAACTAGATACATGCAAAATTATCTTTTTCCGTAATTATATAAACTTATGGAACAACGTACGCAAAGTTTACTGCGATTATTCTATTATCACAAATCTATGTTAAGAATTATAACAACGTATTATTTCTGATTATCAAAGATAAGTTTCGTATTAATATGAAGCTTTAAACCATATGTACACTGTAGGTGTGAAGGATTAAGGAATGATTAGAAATGCTGATGTAAAATGAAACAAGACAATGCATATACTTTAATAATACATAAGCAAACGAATGATCGATCGGTTGTATATAGAAAACGATTGAGAAAGAGAGAGGTATAGAGTATGGTTATTCGATATAGCCATGCGATTCAATCTCTATCTAATCGTATGGAATAGTAGAATGGGTACTGGATCGATACCACACCTTCTTTTTCTGTTATTTCAAATCCTGGTGCACGTTTGATTTTTTATTCCTAGTCCTGGTTTGAAATATATGCAAATAACTGTGAACAAAAAAAAAGAGAGTTAGAAAAAAATGATCGAACGTCTGTTTGTCTGGTTAGATCTGAATTGCTTTCCATATTAATTTTCAGAGAAAGCGACCGCTACAGTCCTCTCCATGAAACAACCGGAACGCAATGCATTATTCTGCATAGGAATAGACAGTAAATCGGATGAAACATCATAGTCCGTAAACTTGATTTCACGAATTTCATTTTAAATATGATTATATCGAACATTGTAATTCCGTTCGTCTTCAGACACGTTATATTCGATTTACCTTGGAAACAACTCGATCGATATTACTGTTTTAAATAAAAATGTAAAATTATCACGCGAAAGAAAAAAAAAGATACAAATTTGAAGAGACCTTCGCCGTCGTGAAAGTTGAAAATGAACAAAGAGTTCGATCAGCATATGTAAAGATTTGAACTTGTTTATATTTATTGGTTAACGAACTGAAAACAATACTTGATAAAAACGTAAACAATCGAGTTATAATGAAAATATATATATATATATTTTTGCGATTATTTATATTTTTTCAAACATTATTTTCAACGACGTATTTTCTCATACGTCGTCAAAATTTTTTTTCGTAACAAGGTACATTTCCTTTAGTCAACATTCATTCGAATTAATGCAAGTAATAACAATAATATTACGGCAATCTTAATGGCCCGGAAAGTTCTAATAATTTTGAAGGAAATTGTAATTTCTCATCTGAGAAATTCGGAAAGGCGACAATGACTTAACTAGGTAAACGCAATTACTCACAATAATCAAATATGCACTATGTGCCCACTGGTGAAACACGGAAGCTGCTTTGCAAGAGTAAACATTCTACTGGAAGTTCTCCAAACGATAAATTCTTCTCAACGGATTGAGAACTCGAATCTACGCTTCGCCAATTCTAATGTACCAACTCTGATATACGTCATCCGCGCGCGCGCGCATCTAAGAATTTTAATTAAATTAGTCATGAAATATTTATTCGCATCAATTTATGTTCATCGAAATGTTATTGTAATGCTATTTACGTAGAATGTGTTTCTTTTTCTTTTTTTCTTTTTTTTTTTTTTTTTATAAATAAAAAATGATTTTTCTCATATAAGGAGACTTTTGAATCACCTTGTACATTGAATGATTTACTTATAACTATTTCCAATCGTAATATATTCACGTCAGAAATTTAACTTAATCTATTGCATCAAATTAACGTAAAAACGATAATAATATATATGAGAATAATATTTTTTCGAGTAGATCTTGCTTACGTTCTGAAAACGTTATTAGAAAATGACATTATATCATTTTTTGTATAGATTCACAATAAATTTAAATGTATTTAAAATTATGGAAAAGGATAGATCAGTTGATTCGATAAATTATAAATTGATATTACGTTAACTCGAACAGATCATTGATAATTCAATCGACTCCGATAAAAGAGTATTCGATACATTCTGTTCGTTCGAACAGACTATCCGTATCTTGTAAATAATAGAAAGTACCAGGGATCCGTCAGGATAATTAAATTTTCATCGATCGATCGTTCACGATGTCCCACCTAAGCTCAGACGAATCGAATGGGAAATGTCAATGACCTCGTCCAATATGTCTCTTTCGGACAACATATCTCTTTATAAACTCGAACGATAAAAATTCGCTACATCTTTTTCGCAGCTAAGCAAACTTTCTTAGGAAATGATAATGCAAAAATCATGAAATTTTAATTAAGGCAGCAATTTATAATAAAATTCCACTTATCCATAGAAATAATTGCCTCGATTCGGCTCCTACAAGGTTACAAATATTTTTAATTATTCTGTAACTGCTCCTACCATTCGTAACTGCCTCTATTCTACGCGGTTATAATGAAATCTCGAGAACTTTAATTTCCTCTTTTATGGAAGTCTCCGTTTGCAAAAAGATTCTCGGAATTTATCATTGTTAAAAAAAAAGAAAAGAACAAGAAAAGATAGAGAAGAAGAGTAGGTATCTCTTAATGCGCTTTGCACACGCTACTCTCTCCCTCTCTCTTTTTCTCTCTGTCTATCTCTCTCTCTCTCTCTCTCTCTCTCTCTCTCTCTCCGTTCACCTGTGTATTATTATTATTATTATTAAAACTTACATTTATGTTAGAACAGGGGAGCATAAAAAGGAAAATATATTTACTTTCATAAGAACAACTTTCTGTGTACCATCTTAATGATATTTTGACAAGTGTTTTGGCATCTTCATCGTAATGTACATTTCTGTCGTTTGTGTTATCGTTTCGTTTGTAAATTATAACTAAATAATAATTTTTTGTTTAATTTGTAAAATAAATTTTTAAATCCTCGGTTAGTCCAGTATATCTCGAAGTAACCCGCATATAAGCGAGAATTAAATATTTCTTTAAATATTTCATTCGAAATGTCATCTGTTTGACATTACGATTAACAAAGTAGCAAGGTACTAAATAAACGATGTATGAAGAGTCGATTAGATAGTCAAAAAATACTTTTCATAATATATTTGAAATACGGAAATGATTAAAAAAAAATAAATAAATAAATAAATGTTGAAATAATTATAAACCAATTCCATATAAATCTTAATTAAATAATATCCAAGTTATAATGAAATTTTTTTTACATTTATCCCGAAAGATGAAACTTAGATTATTAATAATAAAAAAAAATGAAAAGAATTCGAAGATTTTTGTTAGATCCTTTTAGAAAATTTAACCAACGACAAACGTAAACGTTGCAGTGTTGAAATCGACAGGAGTTTTATCAAACTCTCGAGTAAGAGGGAACTCCTATTAGGTCGCATTTCCGAAATCCTTTCGGAATCCTAGTAGGATAGTCTGTGCTATCGAAACGTTCGCTTCGACATAGTGGAGACTCAAAGGAAAGGTAGATAGAGAAAGAGAAAGAGAAAGAGACAGAGAGAGAGAGAAAGAGAGAGAGAGAGAAAGTGCTAGTACTCGGACTAACGTCTCTTCCAGCCACTGCACTTTTGCCTCTCACGCTTCGTCCTCCTTGGGGACAAGATGAAAGAACTCGAGCGAGAAGGAACGAGCAAAAGGAAAAGGGGTTTGGGATACAAAAGAAAATAACGGAGTAACTTCATCCAAAGCAGCCAACTGGAAAATAGCTAATATTCTAAGACATTGGCGACATCGTGACCAAGATGGCTTCCAACTTGCGAGCGAGCATGTATTTCTTATTCACCAGCAAGCACTCCTTTTGTGGTTCGGAAGAAGTGACACTTACCTAAAGGATCACTCCAACGAAGGAACGCCACGAGCAACAACGTGAACTCATTCTGACGTTTCAATCCGATTTCCTGGCATGAAATTTGGAAAACAAGGTCTCTCTGAATATCCAAGAAATTCGGATTTTTTGAATGTCTACTAAAGAAAAGAAAAATCGTCTAATAAAAATTTAACTTTTAAATTGGTTTTCTTATATACACGTAGAAAATTTTTTTCCTTTGTTAATAAAAAGAAAAAAAAGAAATGACCGACATTTTCGTACAATTTCTGAATTCTATTTCTCATTAATAATATACCTTTCTTAAATACACAAGAGAAGAAAAATAAAAGAGAAAAATAGAAGTAAGAAGAAGAAAGATAGTATGTAACAAGTAAGATAAAAAGATGAGATATTCCAGTCTCACGATTATCACAAAATGCAAGTGCATCTTCATTATTTGACATAAGATTTATTAAATTCATAGTTGTATTTTATTACCCTTAATTTCGCATCATAGTCATTTCTACCTTTAACTTCTTCAACATCTTTAACTTCGCTTAACTTTCTCACATGACCTCCTTATCACGATTTCGCGAGGTAAAATAATCTAGTCAATGAAACTATGCTCTTTTCATATTTGTCGATATCAAGTACAAGACTAAAATAAGAATTGACACTGACGATGACGATACTTATCATTTTTTTTAGAAATTAATGTTTCTAGACACTTTTATCATGATACTATAGATAAGGAAAACTTTGTAAGGAAATTAATCATATAAGCTGTTAATAAAGTGAAGTAATTTAAGACAAGAGGTAGTTATGTTTTTATGAACTTTGGTTAATTATCAGTAAATCTATTTTATGGTTTGTTAGGATGTCGTAGGAATATTTCATGCCATAAATGTTAATCTCTGATCCGATATTCCCTTTCATTCGTTTTTTCATCTCAAAGAAAGATTTAAAAAATGAAAAAAATGAGAAACATATTTGAGAAAATATAAATTGCTTAGCTCAATATTGATAAAACCGTATTGATTTTCTCCTTTACGTACTTTCGTTAAAAAAAACAATTCTAAAGTCAATTGGCATTAATCAGCCGAGTGATCTTATTTAATTATTTCTATTTCAGACAGATTTTGAATACGTAAACGAATCTTAGTATTTATAATAAAAATATTTAGAATACTTTTTGACAACAAAATTTTCAACCAAGAGTAAGTTCCTCCACAAAATTATAAACTGTAAATATAATTCAAATATAGCAGAATATAATTTTCTAAAATAGAAGTTATCACTTGTCATAACAAAATATCAAACCGATAAGATAACAATTTTACAAAAAGAACAACTACACTTGGACACTTATGTTTTTACAATTGCATACTGTTGCGCAGGAGGATGTATATATATTCTAGAATACATTCGGAACAGCACATCAGTTCTTCCAAAATCGACAACAATGAAGATCTACCTCCTTTTCTTGGCGGCATTTGTCGCAACTGTACTAGCTAGACCTAGCGGAAAGGTAAAGAAATATACGATAGGACATATAATTAACTTCTTATAAATCTATAAAAAATAATAAATACACATGAAAAATAATTGCTATTATGATTAATTAAATATTTATAAAATGTATTAAAAAAAAACAGGAAAGCAACGCTGAAGCAAGTGCCGCAGCAAACTCAGCAGCAAGCTGTAGCGAAAACGCATTATCTGATGCTATACCTGAGGATTTAGGACAAGGAAGACTGCTAAATGATGGAAGTGAAGCTGCTCTACAAGATGGCGATGCAAATTCTCCCTTATCACAATGGGACAGGAGAGCAAGACTATCTGATGCAAAAGCTAGTGCCATAGCTTCCGCTTCGTCATTATCAAGCAACTTGCAAAGGAATATAAAATCATCTGATGCAATAACTAATGCTGCAGCTTCAGCCTCGTCACAAGCGAGCAGCTTGGGAAGGAGAGCAAGAAGATCATCAAATGCAGAAGCTAATGCTGCAGCTTCAGCCTCGTCACAAGCGGACAGCGGAAAAGATAAAGACGCAAGTGCATGTGATCCAATAACTGGTGCTGCAGCTTCAGCCTCATCACAAACGAGCAGCTTGGGAAGGAGAGCAAGAAGATCATCAAATGCAGAAGCTAATGCTGCAGCTTCAGCCTCGTCACAAGCGGACAGCGGAAAAGATAAAGACGCAAGTGCATCTAATGCAGAAGCTAGTGCTGCAGCTTCAGCCTCATCACAAGCGGACAGCGGAAAAGGTAAAGACGCAAGTGCATCTAATGCAGAAGCTAGCGCTGCAGCTTCAGCTTCATCACAAGCGGACAGCGGAAAAGGTAAAGACGCAAGTGCATCTAATGCAGAAGCTAGCGCTGCAGCTTCAGCCTCGTCACAAGCGGACAGCGGAAAAGGTAAAGAGGCAAGTGCATCTAATGCAGAAGCTAGTAGTATAGCATCAGCTTCGTCACAAACAGGCAGCGGAAAAGGTAAATCCGCAAGTGAATCTAATGCAGAAGCTAGTGCTGCTGCTTTAGCCTCCTCACAAGCGGACAGCGGAAAAGATAAATCTACAAGTGCATCTAATGCAGAAGCTAACGCTGCAGCTTCAGCCTCGTCACAAGCGAATAGAGGAATAGGTAAAGACGCAAGTGAATCTAATGCAGAAGCTTGGGCTGCTACTTCCACATCTTCACAATCAGACAATGGAAAGAGCAAAAACGCAAGTGGATCTGATGCAGAAGCTAGGGCTACAGCTTTAGCTTTGTCACGATCGAACAGCGAAAGTGCCAAAGACGCATGTGAATCTGATCCAGAACCTAGGGATTCACTTTCAGCATCTATACAAGGGGATAGAAGAAGAAGCAGTAGCGGAGTGGAAGCTCTTGCAGGAGCTTGGGCTTCAGCAGCATCCTCAGCACTAAATCGTCCGAATGGCTTATTTGGAAGTTTAAGTAATACACTTAGTGGTGGCATTGCCAGAGTAAACTAAATTTTCCATTAAGCGATATAATAGAAATTAAAATTTAACCAGAAACTATTTTTAAAATGTGATTGATTGCCTTCGATAAGTCTATCAAATTTCTTCTCTTCAACATTAATTTCAAATATAGTTAATATTATGATAATTTTTCACATATATATCCTATAGATTCTATCATCGCGCAAATCTATTGTTTAATGTAATGGCTAATTTAATACTTTATGATACAAAAGTGCATATTTTGTGGGTTAAACAAAGAATATTTTATTCTAATAAAATTAGCGGTAGTATTTTATAATAGATAATACGTCATTTAGTTCAATTCTTAATTATTATATTATAAATTGTATATTATGCATTGTTTAATAAATTAAATATAACTTGGTAAATTGCAAATACTTAATACCTAATTCTTTTCTATTTCCTTCTATACTTTTATTTATAATTTAAAAAAGGATTAACACGCAAATGTGCTATGTGCCATTAAAGGCATGAAAAATATTTACTATTTAGACGTAATCTTAATGTTTCACTATAGTTTAAAATTCTTCAAAAATTATGAATTAATGAAATACTAATGTTGTTGAACATTTTTTAATGTTTTTCTTTAGATTTGTCAGAAAATAAAAATGAAGAATTTTAATTCTTTCATGAATGTTAAGTCGCCATAGAAGCGCCGAAAAGAGCGAATCGTTGTTCTTGCTTAACAGAGCATACATATATATTACATATTTTAATTTCATTAATTGCGCATTAAGTTCGTCTTACGATAACGATTCTACCGATAGGTACTTTCTACCGTTACAACATTAATTTTAATATCGACGAATTTCAAACCGAACGAAATTTGAGCGTAATTGGGTATACACCAATTAACCTCGGTAAGATAAAAAGATGCGAGAATGACGTCGTATCTCATCGTTCTTTTTCGTACAACGTTTGAACACGAAGAAAGTTCAAGGAAATCCATGTCTTTCGGAACGTTCAAAAGAAATGACTTCTGATGGTGATGTGGGAAAAGAATGTTTTGCTTACGAAAGATATGCTAATGCATCGTCCGATCTTTTATAAAATCAAGTAGCAAACGAATATTCGTGTTGAAACGAATAAAGTTGACTCCAAAAGATTATAAACAATCGATTTTATTCTCAACGCGTGAAACTAGATGTTCCGTAAATCGGAAAGTACCTAGATATTTCGTGTTAATTTCACGTATCATCCGACCATCCATTGGAGTAAGATAACGAGAAGTACTATCTGAAAACATATTATGGAAGTTTTATTTCATAGAAGCCAACACGATAAACGCCGCACAATATTGGCAGCGGTCACGCGACCATAGCTGTAGTTAAGACTAAAATGCACTCACCTCGATGGTAATGGAAATGAAATAACACGTTGCCCATAATCATTATTTCTTCTGACAATCAATATATCACAGTGATGAAAATTTATATAATATTATTTACGTGCTTACATGAACGAACAATCATCATTCTACAATAATTTACGCACTTTCGATATAGAACCTGTCGTCTATATCATGAGAAAGTGTGCACTGTTGTACATACATATATCAAAAATAATCGACGTCATACCTAAATAAATTATAAATAATAAATCGTGTAATTTATTATATACATATTGCCATATATATCCAGTATAACATCTAAATTCTAAAAGGGAATAATGCGGCATCCTATTTTTTTGCCAATATAAAATTAAAACGATTAAAAATAACGTTTGAATTGAAATAATCTAGCGAAACTGTGTCGAATACAATAGTAAAGCCGAGTTTGCATAGACGGCGATGATCTTTATCAGTAACGAGAATTGTACACATGTGTAGGAAGCGGTGCACCGACGTCAAATTACGTGTCTCCGGATATAAATCATCGGAAATATTTACATCAGACAATTGAACGTTCTCATTGAGAGAAAGAGAGAGAGCGCAAGAGAGAGAGAGAGAGAGAGAGAGAGAGAGAGAGAGAGAGAGAGGGAGAGAGAGAGAGAGAGAGAAACAGATGGAAGGAGAGGCTAACGATGTGGAGAGGAAGAGAAATAGAATAGAAAGAGAGAGAGATAGCTTCGATCATTGCGAAAGTTCGGCCGATCTCGCGGCCGTTTTGTTGCGGTATCCGTCTCTCATCGAAAGCCGCTTTAACCGCCAATGAAGCGCGAAGCTTTGTGATTTGGTACTATTTGATTATATCGTCGTTCCGAAATCGGTTCGATTACTTTGGTTATACGCGACAAAGTCAAACTCTAAACGATAAACGTCAGCCCGTCAAAATCATTAATCTCGCGGCATCGATCGATCGGTTAGTTCGAATTATGTGTTAAAAGTAACGATATTAAATATAAACGAATATAACATCTGCATTAACTCGATAACGTCCGTCTTTCCGGGAATATCCTTATAGATATATATTTTTTAAACGATTTGTGAAAATCAGGAAAATGATGCCATACACTCATGAAAAGTTTTTCACCGTCGACCATCAATGTATGATAATGATTTTTAAAATATTCACGTTGATGGATAAAATATAAAAAAAATTCCTTCGAGATAGCATGACCTCGATGAAAAGTTAAAAGTCAAGAGGATTCGAGTATGGATCGTACGTACCGTTGAATCGTGCTCAGCAAGGGTAACTCGCAAGGTGAATTCACGATTCGAAATCGAACGAACTTGCCAATTTGCCAGACGTAAACGTGGGATCCGTTTGAAACGTCAATCTTGGCAAGGTAAATCAGCGATCGCAGAAGCCGGTTTCTCCGACTGGCAAAGTGCAACGACTTGTAACAAGTTTCTGATATCCATGCCGAAATTCCATTTCCGTGGAAGGGAAACGAAGGAAAGCATGTGGGTACTCTTTTGAAAAGCAAGCCGCGAATTGCCGAAGTTCGTTCGATGCTAATCGGATAAAAAACTTCTCCGTCAATAAAAGCGACATCAATGAGAAAAAGAAAAATTAGAAAAAAATTCACGAACGGTAGGAGCGACGACGTGCTTGTTCGAGCTCTCTTCTCATGCGATCGCAGAGTCCGTGCAACAATTTACATCGTTTGGGACTAAAATAAGAAATGAAAACAAAAAAAAAAAAGAAAAAAACAAAAAGAGAAAAAAGTCATCCGCTGGATCAAAAGGAATGCCAAAGAATCTGATGCAGAATTTGATAAACCAAATGAGATTCGTATTTCAGATAATCGATATCAACAATTTTCCAATCGTATCGAACGATTCGTTCAAGAGTAATCCGTCGAACCGTTTCCGTGGAAGGATCGAGATTGATAATGGCCGATCGATGGCATACTATACGCGCCAGTGCGGTAACGAGAGTATCTTTTTCCCCTCCTTCTTCTTTTTCTATTTTATCGGACAGCGATTGGATTAAATCGTGATCCATCGCGCGTTGGTGGTGGCGGCGTCAGACGACTGCGATGGCGGCGGCCCGCAAATTACAGACTTCGTTAGAATCCCCCGTTATCTCGATACCTCATCTCCGTGGCGGGAATTATAAAAACAATTCAGATTTATACCTCACGGCTTATCACGCCGGAGAAAGTTATCTACGTGCGCGCACGGCCACGGTTATTGGTACGGTACGCCGATGGTAGTGAACACCGTACTCGGCTCCGTTAGCTCGCTGAACGAACCTACTCCGATAAATCTCAACGAAGAAAGCTTTTGTTTCCAGTGAAGATTATGTGCGTTCGATATGAAAAAAAGAAAAAAAAACAAAAAAAGAGAAAGAAAGAAAGAGAAAGGGCAAGCTCTGCGAAGGAACATTCGCAAGAGACCAAGTAGATTTCAAATTACCGTGAGAATGAAGCAAACTTCTCGATCGTGTAAAATGAAAGACATTTTTACAAAGTCTTAAGAAAATCCTTAAGGCGAATATAACAAATATTTTTGAATATTCACGATGTTGCGATAGTTATCAATAATCTTTTCCGATTCTATCAGATGAACAGTAGCAACGGATTACCCAAGGGAAAGGATTCGTTTCTTTGCTGTCGAAGAAACCAAACAGAACGTACGAAATCTTTGTTTCTTTTTCTTTGATCACATCTTACAAGTACACATACACACACACATACACACATACATGTAAACAGATAGCTTCTACTGTGAAAAGAGAGAGGACCAGCTGACCAAAGGTTAAGATTTATACCGGTACGTACGCATTACGATGTTGTTAATATGCAAGACTGCGAGTCGCGTATGTGCTTGGTGAAAAGGAGGGAGAGGGAGAGAGAGATAGAGAGAGAGAGAGAGAGAGAGAAAGAAAGAGAGAGGGAGAGAGAGGGGGAGAGAGAGGGGGAGAGAGAGGGAGAGAGAGAATCACGGAGAGACATCGCTCGTGGAAGGAAGAAAGAGAGACTAACCTGGACTCTTGGGAGATGGAAAGGGATAGAAGGCGTACTTTAATAATTTATTTAGCCGCCGCGTCGTAATCCGAGATATTCATCCGGGTAATGGGTAATCGTAGACGCGGTCGCAAGCCGTGCCTTGAAATCGCGGCAATTATAACTGTATGTACCAAGGCAAAAGAGAATGAGAAAGAGAGAGAGACAGAAGGTACTCGCACGGGAATTCTACGTAGGTTTACGTAGTACCGTAGGGAAAGGGAACGTACTGGGTCCGGCTCTCTTATGCAAGCTACCACAAAACTCCATCGCTGTGGTTCATCGTATTACTCGAGAATATCTACTAACGACTAACCAACCTATCTCTTCCTCTGTCTCTTTCTCTCCAATATGTTTCGTGCCAAACGAACGTAAAGATGATTTTTATCGATTTCTATTCCTTTCCCTCTTATCCCCTTCAAGCTAGATTTTAATGTTTGAACGCGATAAAGACTCAGGATATCGACGACACCTGCTTCGTCGTTTCACGTAATTACGTGTCCGTACGTAAGCGTTGTAACGTTTTATCGGCTTCACCGATATAAATCTGGCCGCAGCGTGGGTGATCGTTTTCCTTGGATGTGAGTCCAGTTTAATGGCGCAAGCGTGACCACATTTACGAAGAATTC